AAGTTAGAGATAGATGGGGAGGTATTAACCAACCAGGATTTTTGTGGATCACTTTAAATCAATTTTTAGAAGGCTTTGGAATGAGAGTAGTAGCGGAAGGATTGGATTGGCTAAGGTTGGATGATGAAAAGGTAAAGTGGCTGGAAAGGAGTTTTGAGGAAGAAGAGATAAAGCAAGCAGACTTTTTAATGGACAGATCTAAGGCCCTGAGTCTGGATGGTTTTACAATGGCATTTTACCAAGATTGTTGGGAGGTGTTGAAAGATGAATTGTGTGATGTTTTTAAGGAATTTGCAAATAACCACATGGTAAGTCTTGGAGTTAATGCCACTTTCTTGGTTCTTATTCCTAAGAAAATTGATGTTAATCACCTTAAATATTTTAGACCAATTAGTCTGGTAAAGGCATATGATTTGGTGGATTTGGAGTTCCTAATTAAGGTATTGAGAAATTGTGGGTTTTGGTGATAAGTGGTGTAGATGGATATTTGGGTGTATCAGTTCTTGTCACTACTCAATTCTGGCTAATGGTGTGGTAAAGGATTTCTTTCTAGCTTGCAGGGACCTAAGGCAAGGGGACCCACTCTCACCCTTCCTCTTTACTCTAGTAGCTAATGTGTTCAATAGAATCGTCACCAAGGCTGATAGGGAAGATGTATTAAGGGTTGGAGAATAGGGAGGAATTAAGTCACCGTTATCCATCTCCATTTTGCAGATGACTTGATGATTTTTTTGTGAGGGGGGTGGTAGCAAGAAGGTGGCAAACTTGAGAGACCAAATCAAAGGTTTTTGAGAGAATCTCCAACTTGAAAATAAATTTGTCTGCATAAAGGGTATCAACTTGGAGGAGAGGGAGATTGAGGCTATTGTAGGGTGTCTTGATTGCTCCATCTCTTCATGGCCTATGTCCTACTTAGGGCTTCTGTTAAGGGCAAACCTTAGGGAGAGTAGCTTTTGGACTCCGGTGGTGGAAAAGTTTGAGAAGAGACTAGCCTCTTGGAAGAAGAACTACATCTCTCTAGGAGGTAGGATCACTTTAATAAAGGCTTCTTTGGCGATCTTACCCACCTATTTCTTGTTTGTATTTAGAATACCACCTAGGGAAGCAAAGAAGCTGGAGAAACTAACGAGAGATTTCCTTTGGGAACCAAGACAAGATAAAAAAAGGATCACCTGATTAAGTGGTGTGTACAGAAGCAAAAAGGAGGGTGGATTGGGCTTAGGATGGGTGGTTCAAAAAAATTTAGCATTGCTAGGGAAATGGCTGTTTTCCAATGGAGAGAGAGAGAGAGAGAGGTTATGGCATGAGGTGGTGGTAAGTATCCAAGGAAACTCAGAGAATGGGTGGGATGTTGGTGTATCAAAACAGGCTAATTTGGTAGCACCTTGGAAGGCCATTCACAACACTCTTCCTTAGTTTCTCAGGTATGTTTTAGGTATGAGGTTTGTTCTGATAATTCTGTTTGGTTTGGGGAGGATGTTTGGGTGGGAAATACCCCCTTAAAAGACCTTTTTCCCTTTGTTATACTCTCTCTCTTTATAAAAAAAAGAATGGGTTTCAAAATTTGTTTCAACTTCGAGAACCCCCTTGGCTCTGAATTGGGATTTTGGCTTTCATAGAGGGTCAAGGGATGCTGAAATTGAATCTTTGTCTAATTTTCTCTCCCTCCTCAATCAGGTTTGTTTGGACCCAATTGAGTCAGATAAGAGGGTGTGGGCTTCGAGGCCCAAAGGGACCTTCACTTGTGCCTCTTATATTAAGTCTCTTTGCCTTTCTTTTGTTCATCAGTTGTTTCCCTCTAAGGAAGTTTGGTTCTAAAGATTATGGCTTTTTGCTGGGAAGTGTACCTTGGGAAATTAAACACTGTAGATAACCTACAAAAGAGAGGACCTCTCTTGTGTATTTCTCCCAACTGGTGTGTTCTTTGTAGAGCTCATGGGGAGGATTGCTATCACTTACTGATTTCCCATCTATTCTCGACAGAGTTATGAATTTGGTTCCTCTTGTTGTTTGGGTGTAGTTGGAATCTACCAGCTGATGTATGCATGATTTTTGACTACCCTACCTTAACCTGGCCTAAAAAAGGAGGGAGAATTATGTGGAGATGTGCTCGAGCAGCCTTGCTATGGACAATATGGGAAGAAAGAACGCTAGAATTTTCCAAGAGGAGAGGAGCAGCCTAGATTTGAAGGTTTGCATTTTGAATAGGTCAATACACTGCTTAAAAACCATGGAGCTCTTTTAGCATTTCTCCTTTAGTGATCTCTGGAGAAACTGGAAACAGTAGCAAGTTGCTCCTCCACTAAGAATAGGGCAGCTATAAGGTGGCTTCCCCTATCTGCAGGATCGTTGAAATTGAACTTTGATGGGAGAAATTTAGGCAATCCAAGACCCTCTGGAATGGGGGGAGGGGGGTCTGAGAAATCGGCATGGATAGGTAGTCCTATAGGGTCCTCTAGGACATGGAGATTCTGTTTGGGCAGAATTACTAGCTGTTGTACAAGGGGTCCTTTTTTCAAACCAGATGGGGGTAGAGCAATTGATTATTGAAGGGGATTCTAAGGTAGTGGTGGGCCGGTTGAAGAACCCCCAGAATGTTGCTTGGTGCTACAATGAAGTTAAGAAGTTCAAATGGCTGATTAGGAATATGTCTACTTCTATTGCAGTGGGTGGGGAGATCAGCAAATTCTTTGGCGGATGTGTTAGCCAAGCAAGGGGGCAAACAGGGATGACCTATTCTGGGCTCAATTGTGATTTTTGTTGTTTTTTTAGTTTCCTTGTAATCTGTTGGGTGAGGTTGCAGCTCGCACCTCTCCAAGGGTTGTTTTATGAGCTTTTAGTCCCAAACATGTTCACGATTTAATAAAATTATCATCATTTATAAAAAAATGATGGTAAAGTTATATTTTTTGGGTGATGTTTTAGAGATGGGAATTGCGGGCATTCATAATATGCTAGTAGTTGATGCATTGATCTATGGCAGAGGTGCACTTCCACACCGTTTCATCGTTTTTAAAAGTTGTTTTTGAGGATTAATTATATTAAAGATACTGAAAGAGATAATTTGCTTTGGCAAAACTGGTTCATTGCATATTTAATGAAGTTCTTTGTTCCTGATAAAGAAAAGTGCATCTCATTATGTGCATTCAATACATCTTAGGCATAAGTGTTGGAAGGGTTAAGATCCATCATATGGATGGCCGAACCATGCTAGATGGCTGGGCGAATTTTCAAAATTTTCCTAATCCTTATAGGAATCGAATTCCCTATGTTTTAAAAAACTGCATTTTTCAGGATCGGTCTTGCACTGAACCGGACCAGATTTGAAATCAATCAAAGAGAGAGATTTATACCTAATATGAATATCACAAATGCAAATCCCAAGGTGGTTCACGCCCAAATCAGTCCCAAAACCAGCCTCCACTGAAGATGGCGTAGTGTGTAGGTGAAGCTGATTCAGCAACATAGTTTTCAGCAAAACTGCAACCCAACTGCTTGGATCAAACCGGGGAAGGTTCCTCTGAATTTTTCTTGCAAAGTCAAAGGAAAACTGATCTAAATCAGTCCTAGATAGCTGATGTCAAATTGGGAAAAAAAGTGGGAGACAAAAGGGTGCAAAGAGAACCAAAAACTGCAAAAAAATAAGAAGTTGTCTTGGATTGGTCCGCCCCCTCCTCTTTTATAATCTCTTATGGAGTTATTTCCTAATCTAATTAGGAGATAATCTAGATCTAAATCAGATTTGGGCTCTAATTAGAGATATACCATATCTTCTTATAAGATTAGGTGATCCATACTCAAATTCGCCCCATGTCACATGACAACATGTGACAACATAATTAATCATATTAATTATGGGCCTTAGGCCCATCAGCCAAAAGGCCCACGACCCAAGGGTGTTGCATGGCCAACTTAGGCATGATTTGTATGGTGTGGGACCCCATAATGACCTCACATAAGTCCACATGGGTTCGGCCCAACTTCTGTGCAAGGGCTTAGCTGAATTCACTGCTAAACGTAGTAAACCCCTGAGCACATCACTATGGGCTCAATATGGTCCCAACATTTACACTTAAATGGTCATTGAATTCAGCCATCCTATGAAGACCCAAGGATAATGGGCTTAAGTAAGATAAAGCCCATCAGACAATCAGCCCTTAATGGTCTCTTATACTTAACCTCTCGGCCTATAATGATCACAACACTGCCTGACATGGGAGGACTTCCCCCCTAGCTACAAGATACAGTGTCACACTCTTTGTTGGGATGGATCCCAGGAATTAAAACCTTTTGCAAACATTTTTCATAAAACATTAATATATATACTCATATAAATATATTTTGCAAAACCAAATCTCAAACACAATTGAAATCTATTGTCAGTAGTTTAGATTTCCATCAGAGAGAGTGTAAGCCCTATTATTCACTTTGTCCGAAAAAGGGGCCAATCCTATCACTATGATCACCCACTCAAGTGAATTCTCAGACTGCCCCAACATATCCAGGTTTTGACCCTCAATAGATCTCATTGATTGGCATATCAAAGACAGCCAAATCCAACACCTAGTGTAGTACCATAATCAAGTCTAGGGGTTATGTGTAACTTTTCAATTTTGTTTATCAATCTCCAAGGTCCAGGGCATAACTGGAAAATGGTCTGAGTTCAGTGTTTCATTTAAACACACACTGCATGTGCTTTGGGTCTAACCCTAGCAACTGAGACAAGCAGCCCCAACTTCTTTGGCAGCACATCAGTGTCAGTCTTGGCAGGATAAACTCCCCAAGTCTATCCAACAGTTGATAACATTTTAAACTAACACGAGTCTCATTAATGTCCAGTTTAAGGGGTAATTTCACAGAAACATACCAATATCAACATGAAACAGTAATGTACTTTTATTCATTTACAATAAATGTATTTGTACATCAATCTAATTGGAGCTAAGGGCATACACTGTCTAACAATAAGGCATTGATTTGGAATTTGGAACAATCTGCAGGTTGGCTGCATCAAACTGGAGTGGTGAAGGTTCTTTCATATTTACGTCAAGTAGTGCTCCATATGATTGCAATGACAATGGATCTTGTAATGAGGTGTTAAATCTACTACAACACATTGTTTTGCTGGTAACAATATTTGTTTTTGCATTGCTTTTGTTCTAGGTGTCCCTTACATACTTATCATGTGTCTTTGGCTTCATACTATCGCTTGTTGTAATAATCGTTAGAATCAATCCGTGCATTGACTTCAGATCTTCCTAAAGATGTAGTGTATGGTAGTTTTGACTCTTGTTTCACAATATTCCTTTCCCTATCCACATGTGAGCATTAGAGGAGGGGGAGGTTGGTAGTAAGACAGTCATCACTTGTAAAATCAGGCTTGATGGTGGGGTCCATGGGGAGAGGGGGTAAAAATCTTGACTAATAGAAAGGGGTTTCAAATCATACAAAGAAGGCCTTTACTCAATGTTGATAGCTAAGAAAAAAAATTACATTTTAATATTTTGATGTACAAAACCTGAGCAACAATTGAAAGTAGTAGAGATGAATATTTCAAAGGGAAGAGAAGATAGAGCATTTACTTATGCTGCAGATACAGATCTCAATTCTCAACATAAGAAGAGGAGAGTGAGGAGAGAGAATAGAGCCTTACCTCTTGGGTAATTCCAAATTCTTAATTCAGTTACGATAAGAGGGTTTTTGTATAATTAAATCCACATAAACCAGCTTTTACAAATAAAGTCGGATTCTCAATTTTCAGTCTTTTTGGATGGATGCCTAAAAAACATACAAGATACCAAAATTAAATTAAACAAACAAGTTTTGACTCCAAAGCTTAGACTCAAAAAAGGTGATACGAATGTAGCTTTAATTAAAGAAACCTAAAAGCTTACTAATAAGATTAACTAAACCTATTACTGCAAAACTATAAAATAATGCTAAACTATAAACTATAAAATAAGATTAACTACAAACTATAAAATAATGCTAAAAAAATACTAAAATCGTTCTAGAGAAAACCTAAAAACTACCACACTACATGGTTTCTCTATGGTTTCTTTCTCTTTTTCCATGTATGCATTAGTTGGGGTCTAAACCAAGGATCTATTAAGCTACAGGTCAACTTTCCAAGTATTGAATGCTTGTAAATCATGAGGAGTCACCAATACAATCAAGAAAAAAAATCCAACATAAAAATAAAACTTTCCAACTCCAACTCTCATTAGAAAACAATCCAGAAACAACATCTAAGGATCCTAAATAACTAGATATAAAGATTGGACGCAAAGCTCTTCCATTGACATCCTTGAGCTCTGGATGCACCAACTGCCACTAGAAGTAATGTCAGCCTTACCTTTTTGAGTAGATCAATGCTTTCCTTAAAAAATATGCCAATTTCTCTAATTTCAAATGCCCCTAATGAACAGAAAATGGTATTGTACTTCAAATCATTTTCACCTTTATTTCTCCAGCAAAAGATGGCCATGGAGAGGAAAAAAAATCATGTGGCTGAGAAGGCCCGAACTCTGAAATTTGATCTTCTAAACAACCCAAGAAAATAGGTCATGAACACCACCACTTTACATTGGGTGAACATGAATGCCAAGCATCCTTCTCTCAATTTTTAAACATTAATGATCAGATGATGACCACTAGATCAATTAGGAGTTGGTTTGTACTGAATACATCTAGCTGGCCCATGTTAGAAACTTTTTCCCTTTATATCTAGAAAGCAACTAATCTGAAAAAAATCTGGGATGCACAGTTCTTTACATGTAGAAGTATAGTTGAAAGATATCTAGTTTGCATTTTTAACTTACATGCAGATGGCTATGCAGGACTCTCCAATAGTCCCTTTAGGAAGAAGCCCTCGAACAGATATTCTTTTAAAGGCAGAAAGTGTGGTGCTGGAGCTTGGTGGTTGTGTTCTTAGATTGGCTGGGCTTTACATATCCTTACTTGCAATTAATCTAAACCATTAGCTTTCATTTGCACCTCGAAGTTAAATGGACACATGTGGAAATTAATGCTACTGTCAACTTCTTAGTGTACCTTAACTATTTACACAAAGCAGATAGAGGTGCCCATAACTATTGGCTGGAGAAAGGGACTGTAGAAGTTCGTCCAGATCACATTCTCAATCTTATTCACTATGAGGTCATCATTTTCATCTTATGGTTGTTCTCCTGATATTGTATATTGAACTTTAATGTCGTTCTTGAAATTTCTCCATTATATTTGTATATGCCACATAATTGATGCTTACAATCTTTGCAAGTTTATCTATTTTAAAGAACTTAGGAGTGGCCTCAATAGGTGATAAAATGAGGGAAAGACTAAGATGATTTGGACATGTGCAGAGAAGACCATCTACAGCACTAATGTGAAAATTTAATCAATTACAAGCTAAAGGTTATAGAAGAGTTAGGGGCAGACCAAAAAGGGTGTGGGTTGACTAGCAAAAAGCTATAGCCTATTACATGAAACTTGAATCCTTACTTATGTGAACTTGTTAACTCGCTTTCGTGGTGGGTGAGCTATATTGGTATAACCGTTTTAGTTGCTTAAGATCATTTCTTTTTTTTTCTCTCTATATTGTTTTTGTTGTTTCCATTTCCCAGTCATATTGGTAGTAAAGATTGTCAACAAAATGCTGATGGCTTTTTTTTTTTCTTCAGCAATGGATATTCTATTAATTGGAATTAGAATTGGGATGGGGTCGTAGGACTAGGAAAAAAAAGATGGAAACCCCTGAACCCCTACCTTCAAAGAAGGCTTAACAATGTAGATGAACAAAAGAAACACAAGTTACAATCCCTGAAGCCCTGAAAAAAAAAATTGAAAGCATGAACTTACCCCCTGAAAGATAATAGCTTCCAACCACCAAGGAGATCTGCTCCTTCCCCAAGACTGGCATGAGAATCACTGAAAAAAGAGCCCCTTCCAGTCTACCTGTAAACTAAACAACATGATAAAAAAACCTAAAAAAGAGCTCCTTTGCACCTCCTGACGTTTGTTTAATTATTGATCAAAAGGGAAAAACGACAATACGCTATTGTTTAGTCTAGGTCACAGCGCACCTCCAGATCTTAGTTTCATAGACATACTATAAATAGTACAAAGGTCATGAAATCTTCAAGGCCACTGTGCATATGTCATGCCAAGGGCATACTAATTCATATAATATTCCTGCATTTTTGTGGTTATATATCTTTTGGGGGGATTTAGAGTTAACAATTGTATAATTTATCAAGAGTGGAAATGAATTTTTGTTAAAAACCATGAATTAGTGGTTGCTCTAACTTGTCACTTGCATACAGGACGCAGCATCACTCTCAATTTCAATCATGAAGAAGAAACTCCGTGGTCGCATCTTCTTAGGCTGTGACAATAATCCTTTATCCAGGTCTTGTCACTGGTTTACTATTTTGGATTTTGGCTACTTTCTTTGTAGTGAATCATGACAATTTCAAACAGAAAACACAGAAGCAACCTAAATCTTTCTTCATCTGCTTTATATCTCCTCCTTACAGGCAGGAAATGATGGATTTGGTGAACAGTAGTGGAAAATTCAGCAAAAAGTTTGAGGCCTTTACAGGCAAGCTCATAAGTGATGTTTCAAAATAGAAACATCAGAAAAGTTTTACACCCGTACGGTTGAGGTTTATCACTATATTTTCCAACTGATGCAAAGTCAGCTTTAATTTCTTGTGATGCAGGAACTGATGATCCTTTAGGGAAGAGGTTAAATAACTCAAAAACCCGTGCAGAAATTGGATGGGAACCAAAGTACCCAAGCTTTGCTCACTTTCTTGGATTACCAAAGTAAGTGCAGCTTCCCTCTTTATGTGGGAAGGCAGAAAGGAGTATTAGCAACAGTTTGTGGTTTGTCCAAGCTTTTTTCAGTCCTTTGGACTACATGAGAGGTGTAAATTCTTCCTTTATTTTCCACAAGTCCTTTCATATTCAAGAGGCAAGGGGATAGGTCTTGTTAGCATTTATGCCATGGGGAACAGCTTCAAAACTTGTAATTTTTTACCCTGCATTCCATATTCCTATAATCTGATGTACAAATTATAGAGAAAAGATTAAGGTTTCTAAAAAGATCAGATTGGTTAAAGTTAATCTGAGGATGCTCAAAATCTTATGTCTTTAATCCCTTGGATGGGTTCATCTTCTGATGGGAGCTATTCTCTCTATCCTTGGAAATGCCCAAACTTCCCAATGATCATAAACTTGTGAAATTATGGTGTTATCAGTTATGTGCTGGTATGAAATTGACCCCTCAGATTTCTTGAGATTATTAGCAACGGTTAAGTACTAAACCCTGATTGACCCTACTTATTTAATGGGAGTTGTTGGGTCTGTCCAACAAGACCCGACTATGTATAACCTACAAACCTTTACACTATGTAAGTTGACATTTGACAATAATCTCTCTCTCTCTCTCTCTCTCTCTCTCTCTGAAACAGGTAAAACAATGCAGGCAAAATCCCTGTGCAATTAGGTCTCGGGATCGGGTTGGCCCAGACCGCCGGCAGTGTTAGATGTGAATTTATGATCATTTCCTTTATTCTAAATTTCTAATGCATATATAAAACGTGCCTCCCTCATTGGCGCTTGAGGCTTACCGCTTACGATAAAATGGATCATGGATTTCATCCTCACAAAATCCATTCACTGCTTGTGCAACCGTGCATTGGGAATATCTCCATGTTTGTATGATTTGATTTTATTCATGAAGAGATATTCTCAATGCAGAGCTACAAGGGCTGTGGGTCCTATGTAATAAAATAGATAGGACCTCCACCTTTCACAGTGGAGTCCATGAATTTATTGTTGGTGTGAAATCAAGGTTTTTAAAATCTAACCGGTCGGGGGTCTGGTTTTCGAGTTGAATGATCCGACTGTTTGAATCAAACGGATGGCCCGTTCTAATAAAAAAATAAAAAATGGCCAAAGTTGTTGGACGGTTTGAACACCCAGGTCAGTGATTTACTGACCGAATCAACGGTTTTTGGCAAAATAACGGTTCTGAGGTAAAACGGATGATTGATTCCTGGTTTTGTCTATCTGTCTGGTCTGGATTTGAAAACTATGTACAGAGTTAAGGCTGCGTGCATTTGTGCCTCAGATCCCTCATTGATGGGAGCCTGTGCACTGGATTGCCCTTTTTTTTATTATAAAATGGCCAGCCTATGCCAATCTCTAACATTTAAACTTCAAAAAAAATGCCACAGAACGTGATTTCTTATCTTTTCTCTCAATTGTTTTCTCGAATTTAGGTGGAAGCTAGCACTTTTTCTCTCCTGATTATCCCACATTCAATAAAATTGTAGCTTTCGTGTCTAAAAGAGTTGCAATAATGCTAAAATTGTAGCTTTCGTGTCTCAAAGAGTTGCCTTAATACTCTAGTCATGACATTAGGTTGGATTTATCCCATACACTCTACTGTCTTCCTTTTCATTTTTTTGTTTTCTTTCTATTGATAGATAATAATACCAATATGTCAATTTTAAAATGCCTTCCATACACTTCTATTCATAGGTAGTAATACCAAATTACCAACATGACAATTTTAAAATGCTTGGTATGTGTATCATATCAGTAAGTTCCATCAATGTTCAAAGTATTGGTATGTGTATCATATCAGTAAGTTTGGACAAAAATGTATAACATGATATGCTTTAAATAGCATAGATATGGTGAAAATAAATGGATATAGTTAAATACATTGTAAAAAAAATCTTACAAATCCCACTAAAACATCAATAATAATAGATGTAAGGTGGAAAACATTATATTTAACAAAAATATTGAAATAATTATGAATAAGTTATACGCACATAAGAAATACAAACTTCCGTTACTTATAAAAAGAGATGCATTACAATCAATCATACTGGGAATCTAGGTTCAAAGTATCGACACAGGCCGATATGCCGGTAGGGCATATTGGCCTGTGCCAGTGCTTTTTTTTTATGTTTTATTTATTTATTTTTTAAAACTGGTTCAAATGAGTCAGTTTAAGTCCCAGCTACCCTTTGAACCATGGTCTGACCTGATACAACCCCTATAGGGGCATATTGGGAAGCTTCCGACACGATACGTATCGGCCGATACAAGCCGATATGTATCAATACTTTGAACGATAGTGGGATTGTGGGAATATGGGTGCAACGGGAGAGTTCGCTAATTCTTTTTTTTTTTTTCAGCAAAGGTGGGGTCTTATGGTAAATGAAGTTTCTCTTGACTATTAGATAAGTAACTTTCCCCACATTAGGGGAAACATATTAAAAGCCCAAAACTAGTAGGGGTGCAACTTGCATAGGCTTGGGTTGGATAAAATTTCAGTGGGCCTGGCCTAAAAATTCAAGCCCAGTACAGTGTAAATTCTTCAAATGGGGTGCCCGATTTTCACCCCTAAAATCTAGCTTAACAAAATTACCCATTAAACAGGCTTTAAAGTTTAAACACAGAAGGGTAAAAATAACAATACAAAATTTACCTGTACAGAAAGGAAAAAAGAAAAGGCAAGTGCCTAGATAAATAACATTAACCAAAAAGCAAACATGGCTACAAGTAGAAATCAGTGAACAGTTTTATAATAGGTTAATCTTATAATATTTAGTGTACCTTTTTTTTAAAGACTATACCATTGTAAAGATAAATCTACTTTTAGTGTAGCTTAAGCACTCTACCACCGAGTCTCCGATGTTGAAATTTGAACCACCGATCAGCGTCCACCAATTGTTTGTTTTTAGGTGGGAGTGAACCTTCCAAAGTCGAGTCACGTCACGAGTGTCGACTCTCTAAAATTACAAGAGTCTGAGTTGTTTTATGGGACCCAGATATTTCTTAATTTTTTTTCATGGACATCGATCAATTCATCATCTTGACTATTTTAAGTCCACCAAATCTTAAGACCCATGTGCCCTTAATAATTCCCCTTTATTTTAGGATGGAGGTTGTGGCATTTTCCCCAATAGAAACTTCGTCCTCTCAACGTAATCACATCGATGGAATCTTAACCAAAATTAATGCTTGGTAGGCGTCTGTATGTCTATCTAAATACAATTTAAAAAAGAAGGAAATAGGTTTTAAGTCAACGACGTCAATTTTTTAAAAACAGCATCTGAGCATCCCTCCTTCCTCATCTACTGTTCTTCATTCATTCCCCTTCAGATTTTAGAACAGCTTGCTTGCTTATTGCTCTGCAAACAGGAGATAGATTTAGGTTTGCTTGTGACGATGGGGAAAATGTGTTGCTCAATGATGGCGGACGATGAGGATATGGACATTAAGGGAATTCTGCTGGTGATTGTGATTGGCATCGTGATCGCGATCATGCTTATGCCTCAGCCACGGCGATCCAAAGTTATCACCGTCAGAAATTCCTGTTACCGCAGAAATTAGTAACCATTTTTGCTTATTTTCATCCACTTTGTCTTAGTCTGTGTTGCATTTTCTCTTTAAAAGACTACTACTACTTCATGTATGAGATTCATTGAAATTTGACAAGAAATGTAGCACTTCTTGTGAGAATGGCGTTTGTGTTGGGTGATTTTTTCTTTTTTTTTTTCTTTTGGGTAGAACAAACCCACCAATTTGTAAGTGATAATGGATTTTTCTTTGGCTCTTTAGTGGACTGATCTAATCTCATAGGGTTTAGAGGAAAACCAAACCAATTGTGGCATGAACCTGTTTTTGAAAGTAGGCTTTCCTATCAAAGTAAGGCCATCGGGTAAAAGACGGCAACCTGGTTTTGCTTCTCACTCCCCTGGAGATATGGTAACATATCAAAATATGTTACCATCTAACAGTTACTAGTAGTATAGTAAATCAAAATTGGTTTTCTATCAAGTTTCTGGTTTTGCTTCTCACTCCCCTGGAGATTATTGGGCACCTTTGTTAATCTGGGTGACGAATCCAGTGTGCGTTCAGTTGGTAATGGAAGAGTACGCATTCTTTGGTAGGAATATAGGCAGTTAGAATGGGAAACCGACATTAATAGATTGACACCCAAAAAGGAAAGATTAGACTTTAAGTGCAATGCTAGCATTGTTTTAGCATTTAGCACTGTACTCATAACTCGTTAACAACCTGGTTTTGACTGCTAATGTTGCTTTGTTATTGATCCACTTGTACACATAACTCGTTAACAAGTTTTTTTATCAGCTTGCCCCGCTCATCAAAGGTACAATTATGATAGTCAAGGTTTAAGCAAGGTGTACAGAAAGGTAATTTTAAGAAATATATCGGGATAGAAAAATCAAAATGCGCATAAATATGATAGGAAATTCAAATAAAAATAACACTTACAAGTTTTATATGATTGTAAATAAGTCATTTAAATGTAAAAAAAAAAAACCATAATTTAATGTTTATATAAAATGTGACATCTCAAAATATAATTAGTAATTGTTGAAAATGATGAAATAACTAAAATGTGAAAAAAAGCAAAAAAAAAAACTAACATATAAATGTATATACATCAATTTTCAAATAACCAATATAATTTATCTTAATTTTTATTAGTACATAAATTTTAATATTTATTAATAAGCACGATAAAATTTACTTAAAACTAGAAATGCATATAATTATTATAACAATCAAATTGAAGTCGCATAGTGGTGAAATTATGGGTGTTAAAATCTTGTGACAAAGGTTGAAGTCTTTCTATTGTTAATATTTGTAGATTTTATACTAACAAAACGAAATTAATGAAAGAGAGGATCATTAATTAATAGAATTAATTAGAGAATTGAAATTAGGCGCTAAAATTCAAATTTGAATTTAAATTTACCTTAAATATAGGAGTAATTCCTAAATCGATTTCTCGCAATTGCATATACATATGCAACAGCAAGATGTTGAAGTACATTGAGAATAATATAAAGATCCACACCTAAAAGAAAGATTTTGATAAAAAACAAATTTACAAAATAGAGGGAAAACTGGTACCTAAAATAGTCAAAATCGTTGGTGTGCCCATGACGCAGGCCTCATGCTTGTGTCAAGGATCAGTCTTCGCTCTTCTTCTTCTTCTTTTTCTCTTTCTTCTTACTTTGCATCTCAGTTTCTTCCTCATCATTTTCTGCATGCTTTCTCTTCTTTTTCTTCTTTTCTTCCACCTGCGGTTCAACAGCTTCGTCCTCATTTTGAGCTTCAGCAGTTCCAGCTTCAGCCTTCTTTTTCTTCTTCTTCTTTTTAGTCTCTGTCTCTTCCCCTTCAGGTTCCACACTAATCTCATTGTTACCTTTTAGATCAGCATCCTCAACATCAGCCTTCTTTTTCTTCTTCTTCTCCTTCTTCTCCTTCTTCTCCTTCTTCTCCTTCTTCTCCTTCTCTTCATCACCTTTAACAGGAGCCTCCTCAACTGCTTCCTCTTTCTCCAGCTTCTCAGCCACCGGTTCAGCAGTTCGTCCAAGTACCGAATCGGCTGCGGTGTTATAAGTCTACATATAAATGCAAGTCAATGATCAGATTACTCGATATACCATGAAAACAAAGCAGGAAGTTCTAAAAATTGCCACACCTTAGCAGGAGTTATCAATGCCCCTGCACCTTTCTTCCGATCTTTGTCATAGAATTCTATCTTAGGTTTGCCTTTAGTTGACCCGGCCGAGCGGCCCAGTTCTCTGCCCTCGAGATTCCTCAACCGAGCTTCAAGCTAAATTAAAAGAAAAAAGGCTAACATGAAAAAAGGAGCTTCCAGGTGGGTGAGAAGGGGTAAAGCATAATATAAATATGTACATCCATATTACCTTGGCTCGGTTCTCCAGCCCCATTGTGTTATCTTGGCCATCTCCAAGAGCATCATATCGAATAGCTAATGCAGTCTTAGCAGCAAGTGATCTAGAAATTTTTCCTTTAAGCTTTGGGGCTGCCTGACCAATTAAAGATGCATGGAAGATAAGCCCATATTTTGGAGTAGCATGCTTTGTCTTCAAAGCTCTAAAGAGGGCCTTTTCTGCACCAAGAATTTGGACAGTGCTTCCAGGCTGCTTTGCAAGATTCAACAAGCTGCCACCATGTGCAATAAGGCGAGCACCAACAAGTTCTCCAACAAGAGCAGTCAAATTTGGGGCAATTGTATTCATTCTGCTTTTTAAGTAATCATACAGTTGAGCTCTATACTCTGAGAGAGACAACACCTGATCACATAGGTCTTTGATATTCATCAAATCCAAGTCACTAACTTCTGTTCCCATTGAAATCACTGCTGCCTCTTTAAGTTCTGTCTCAACCTCTTCTGGCAGTATCTGCCCATACCAAATAAAATAACATGTGAAGAACATTTGTAGGTACCATATTTTTTAAATAGAATCTTCTCTTTATAGAAAGAAGACATTCTAAAATCTAAACATGCAATATTACATATTTTTACTCCTAAACAGGTCACAACTGTTGCCAATTTAAAACTAAAAGTATAACAAGGACAATGCAAGGAGATGGATTTTTAATTAGGAGTTCACCTAGTGAGGCCCACCAAATAGTGAGGTCCCACTGAAGATTCACCCATGTAAATGTTTTACCTGTATGACATGAAGGTATTAATCTTTATGTATTTTTTCTATCATTATGAAGAGTAAGAGTAACCAGAGGCCAGAGCTCTACCTCAGAGAAATCAAGCTTTGCAGCATTTGAACGACTGCCCATCAATTTCACTGCTTTGGCATAATGGATGTTGTCTTGTACAATCTTTGCAAGCTCTGGGAAATGCCAGCCATACCATTCCCGGACTCGCATTGCATACGTATTTAGCTCCTTGTCAAGATCATCCAGCAAACCAATGGCCTGAATAATCATAGTATCCACCTGGAGAGTACAAGAGAACTCAATATTACTATTTTATTGCCAACCCACTGATCAGTTACAAAGCAACAGAAATAACTACAAAAGTACAAATTTAAAAAAGAAAACTGAAATTATAAAACAAGCTCCTGTTTCTATTAATAAGATATAAAGCATTTTAACTTTCCCATTGTTCCACATTGCAAGTTCTTGGATATCAAAAGTTTAGTATAAGCATATATGAAGGTATTAGGAAAACTAAGGTTAACTGCATGTGATGTTATTGGAGCTACAACTTTCTCATTGAAGTAAACAACATGCAAACACTTCTAACTAAATTTTTGAGTCCTTGCAAGTGGACAGAAATGTAACAGCATACATAGGATAAAGTTGTTGACAATTAATTTATAAAGGCATGAAAGGAAATCATCTCTCCTCAATCCTAAGGGGGTGTATGCATCGAAAAAGATGAATTGGCCCAACCAGAGCATCTTCTAGTAGAAAACACCCTAGTCAAATGATGAGAAAATGATGCAATTCTAAATCAGTTACCTCTAAGAGCAACATATAAGACAAGTAGAAATTATCTTTTCTGTCAGAGACAATCATGAATTTTATTATTTTTTGAATGATATAAAAAGACAATTCATGATTGTGCCAAGTACCCCCCCCCCTTGTGTAGGCTAGCCCTTGCTATTTTGTACCTACCCCTTGTTGTACGAACTACTTTTTACAACCAGAGGGGTCCATTCCCCAAAACAATGGGGACTCATCCAACAATGGACTGCTATCCCGAATGCAGAAGTGAAAATGTACAGAGTATTTAAGCCATATGATGAGACATTCTTAATTATTTAATCAGAAGCATGCTTTTTCATAGTTGAACATGAAAGCATTAAAAAGAAGGGAAAAGATGATACACTTGATATTAAATTACCTTATCGGGGCTAAATTTTAGCTTGTATCTAGATAAACTGTGTGATAAACCCAAGCTCATTGGAGCCAAATCTTGAACTGCTAACCCAGATATTAATTCAGTCAACTGACTTCTCACACCCCTCATCAGCTCCATTACAGTATTATTGTGTACACATTCTATTTTCTGCAAGAAGATCATTGCTCTCAATTGATATTGGATGATGATGTTGAAAACATATTTGAAATCAAAGAGTTAATATCATTCAGAATTTAGCATACCAATTTTTCTTTTATTGCATTCCCAAATTTTGAGTCTGCCACTGCTAAAGTTTCTCCATCACAATGTGCACGCAAGAACTTGCGAAGAGCCTTGCTAGGCTTGCTATCAATCAGCAATGTTGCTGCTGATAAAGCTTCAGATGTGTTCTCAAATTTGGAGAAAGCTTTCAGCTTCACCATCTGGTGTTGAAGTGAAACCACATATGTAATTAGATGGTTGGAATGAAATACGAGCAGATAGTAGCAAGTGGAATGGTTGGAATGAAATACAAGCAGATAGTAGCAAGTGGAACCCAATATCAGCATTAGCAATGTGCATACAGTCCAAAGCAAAACATACTTAAATTATAAGCAGTTAAAGAGGGAGGAACATTCCATCAGGTTTCCGGTATTTCATTCTGTAAACATCTAAGAATCTTTGGGCATTAAAAAGTGAGTGGGGGCTTCAAATCTTCAACATGTAAGGAGCAACATAATCAAGAAACACGAGAGAATAGGATTTACAGTTTTAGAAATGCACCCCCCGGTCCCCCTTATGACAAATACTTCTACTGTTTGAGGTAATTCATTTATAAAAAGAAACCTTAAGCACCCTACCTGAGGAAAATATTTGTATGCCCATTTAACCAGATAATAACAGTAACGCCCAACCCTAGGGCACCTTACTAGGGAAAGCACAAAGGGATTTATTGATCCAAAAAAGCACCAAGGGATAGAAGGTGCAACTGGTTAGAAGAAATGTGCAGACATTATGTTTCCTTATCACATTATAAAATATAAAAAGAAACTTTGATATTTAATATAAGTTGAACTCTAAGCACCCTAATAGGCTAACAATTCATCCCTAAAATGTTTTTTCAATTATCAAAAAAAAAAAATCCATCCCTAAAATGTTGATGAATACAAATGATTCCCTTTCATGCTTTAAAAGATTATGGATGGAGCAGAACAGAAGAGATGATGAACCAAGTAAGATAATTTTCTATTTAAGCAATGTCTTTGTATAGTAAAGAGAAATTTTCATTAAAATGAAAGAGAGAGGGAGAATGCAAACGATGGTGGTAATAAAGGGCAGATGATAAAAGCAAGAAAAGCTTAACCTTTTCATTGATCAGGTTACAATTTCTCTGTTATCTGCCTGAGAAGTGCTCTTAGCATTTCACTTTTGGGTTAATGTCTGGACTTTTCTAACATTGGTGCATTCCTGCCAAATATACCCCCCCCACACACACACACACACAAAACCTATGATAGAGAATGACTATTCATTGATGACAATTGAACCATAAACAGTTAATCACAACAGAGGAAAGAAGAGGAATTCTCAGTTGCTACATATAAGACTAGCATTGCAAAAACAGAATAGTTTACCTTTCTAGCGGATTCTGATGTCGAGAACTCCTTCCACAAGTCCTGCAACCCAGGCACAGCGTAGTTAGGAATCCATGGACCTTAACATTCAAAAATGAACAAGCATATACAACTTAGGATCAGAGAAATGTTTACAACCTCGACTTTAGAGAGTTTCCCTTCATCTAATACTTTAAATAGGGCAAAGCCCGCCGGAGTTTCGAACAAGACAAGCATTTTTTAGCCTCGATCACCTACACACAAAATCAACAGAACCACCTTATATTAATTCAAAGAGAACGGAGCTACCATATTTACTAACTTGAACCGTTTTCTGTAAAGAATCTACTCTTATTTCAGCATTTCAATAGCTCGTATTAACAGTTGAAGAAATAAAAATAAAACAAGCATATGCGAAAGCAAAGTTAACACTTCAGAGATTTGGCGAGCATAACAAATGACAAGAACCCACAAGATGGAAACTTGGGGTTGGAGGCTTCAGCTATAGGAATCAAGGGTTTTAACGTTAGAGATGTAGTAATCAATGGATTTGAGAGTTCCTAGACATGGGGATTTAAGTTATAACAATTATGAGGTCCATCAATCTGAACTCTGAAGTCTTGAACCACTCAATTTGAGAAAAGAAGGAAAAAAACGAATGCGGTGGACGGAAGATAATCTGCGGGGACCTAGTACAGTGTAGTTCCAAAGGAGACCCGAGCTTAGAGAATGAGCCAAAGGTCTGGAGATGGATAGATATTGCGAATATGTAATATCAAGTAACAAAGAAACCCTAAACACTCACCTATTCTCTTGGTGCTTTCACAGATGAACCAGAGAAGACAGCAAGCGAAAGAATGGGATTGTTGTATGTTAGGGTTTAAAGCACGGGCTTCGTGGTTTGTAGGCTAGGGTTTTAGAACGATTCACGGCAGGTGGAAAAATTATAAACAATAGAAAAGGTGTTTTTTGTAAATTACAAGTTGCTCTACCTGTAGTTTGGGTAAAACATACAAATGCAAAAAAAATGAAAATTACAATAAATACAACATGAAATTAATATCAACTAAAACTATAAAAAATGCAAATTAAAAAAACAAAGCATTAATTGATCAAAAAAACAAAATATTAAATAAAACCTTAATGTTCAATTTTAAAAAGGGCAAATCTCTTAAAGTAACCCATGTGGTTTAGTAAACTAACTAATTCTATCCTTAAGTTTTCTAACAATTGTCTATTTGTTACATTCCATTCACATGTGACATTACGTGACTAATATATATTTTTTAAAAATTCCTAAATTACCCCTTTAAGGTACTTGGATTCCCAAAATATCCCAAGAAGACCTACTCTCTCTGGCATATTTTTTTCGAACTGCAATTGGAGATGGATGGGATAAGGATTGAATCTGGTTTTTCGATAAGGGACATTGTCGAACCAAAGTTTGTTTGCGAGAAATGTCCAATTCATTTGTTGTAAGCCACGGCCGTAGGCCCCTGGAATTCTGATAGCAATCCCACTAGGCCTCTTCTTAGCGGCCTCAAGTAGTCTTGCTCTGAATAATGGTGACATTGGAGAGGGACGAAGGTTGTGCCGTTGTGGTACCACAGCCTTGAGGGGTAAATTGACGATATTGTTATGTTTACCATTGGACTCCCTTAAGTTGTTTTTGGTCTGAAGGAAAAAGTAGGGAAAGGCAAGGAAACCTAGACAAGGTTTGTAAAGGTTTCCCTACTTTTTCCTTCAAATCAAACATAGCCTTTAGTGTTGTTCACGGGTCGGGTTGGGTCGGTTTAATAGATTTTTTCAACCGACCCAACTTGGTCGGGTTACTTAAAGAGCAAACCGAAATCGACCTGCCATTAAGCACATGAAGGGTCGATTTGGGTTGGTTTGGCATTGTTTGTGAACAACCATATATTTGGTGTAAAATCTCCTACTCAATAAAAGGAAAATAATCCTAATGACAAAAGTAATTCCTATTTAACTAATGTTTTATTGTTCTTTAATGTTAAAAATAAGTAACAAACTAGGATAAGGATTACCTAGTTAGGGAAAGACTAGGAAATCAAAAACTAATTAACTCGGTTTGGTTTCTGAACCGAATTATCGGTTTATCCCTCTCCACAACCAAAAACCGACCAATGGTGAAGAAAAACTAACCAAATCAGGTTGGATCGGACCGACTTGGTCGGTTTGGCATTGTTTGTGGACAACCCTAATAGCCTTAATCAAAATTTGAGAAAGTGGAGGTAAAAAGCAGGTGTACCATCTCCAATGAAATTCGAAACCAAAATGTTGGTGATTCATACAGTTCTGATTCTTTCTAGATCGAGTCTTGCATTGCACCTCAACTGTAATAAACTTGGCAAAATTGGGCAACAGGAGGTTGAGCAGGAGGTTGAGCTTCTCATTCCAAGAGGGGCAACTCCCACCCCATGTGTCCATCCTGGTGGAGCACAAGTTATGGGAGTCTGTCCAGACGACAATGAAGGCGTTCTTCTTGATACAACGGTGATGGAGGCATAAGTCGTGGGCGGAGATCATGTTGATCTTTAATTAATTTTGAACTCCATTTTTGGGGAGGTTGAGTCTTCTTCTTATTCAATTGAGAAACTTAGGGTTTTGAATGTAGTTATAGTTGTGATGTAGTGATGTTGTGATGTGTTGGGAGTAGAGAATTAATAGATATATTAATAGTGTTGGAGAAGACAACACATGAAGAAAAGATAGAGAAATAAAGGTGTTGCTTCTGTGTTTTATTGAGCGGGTAAGCTTTGGTTGGAAATGGTGAGAAAGAAGTTGGAATCAGCTTCGACAAAAGGGAGAGGAATCATCGAATATGCTTGCCACGTAGCTGGTAAGCCTTACAGTCATCTTCTTCGAGATCGACTTCTATCAGGGCAAATCTGTGCCCACACCATTATAACAACAATTTTCAACCTCGCATTAGTCATGTCTCCACATGAAATTAAGCACACAAGTACGGAGATATTCTCAATGCAAGACAATAAAGGCTGCTTGAATGGGCTTTGCCCTGATTGAAGCCGAACTCATCTTCTTCACCCTTCTAATGGGAGTTCTGCTTCAGTTCAAGCACACTGCAACCAGGCAACGTTCGCGCATTCAGAGGATGCACCACGTGTCCTCTGAAGCGTGTGAGAAGCCTTCAGCCCCATTAGTTACCACTACTGTTAGTCTGGGTTAAACAAAATGCGAGTTTTGCTCCTCTCCTCTCCTCTCTGTGACAAACCTCATGTTCTCTCTCCCCCCATCTGCTCGGTGGCAACTGCACAACCATCACCACCTGGACTGAAGCCTAACTCAAACGCGAGTTTTGCTCCTCTCCTCTCCTCTTGCAGACGAACCTCATGCTCTCTCTCCCCATCTGCCCAGCAGCGACTGCATAACCATCACCACCGGCGACAAACAATCATCACCGATAGTAGGATCAACCTCAGGTATTGTATTTTTTGCATCTCTTCTTCTTCCATGAAAACTAACCCTAATGGTTTTGGATGGAAGTCATCCACCCGGCAGCGACTGTACAACCATCACTGCTAACGACAAACAACCATCACCGGTGGCAGAATCAACCTCAGGTATTGTCTTCTTTGCATCTCTTCTTCTTCCATGAAAACTAGGGTTTAATCCACTTACCTTATTTTTTCTAGTTTATAATTTAACATCAATAAGTTTTAAAATTCTTTGTATGATCTCTTCTTCTTCCTTGAAAAGAGGGGTTTATTCCAATTACCTTAGTTTTTCTAGTTTTGTAATTTAACATCAGTAATTTTTAAGATTCGTGTAGGATTTTAACATCAACAATTTACATAATTTTAACATCATCAACCTTAGTTCAGAAGGCATCGAATCATCTTATATGTTGCAAAAAAGATTTTGTGATTTTGGAACTTGAGTTCTGTTTTGCTAATCGTGCTACTTCCCAAAGTTCAGTTCTCGACGGAGTTTCAATTCATCTAGGCTCACTAGAAGTATTATTTGGATAATACTAAAGTTTGAGGATTTCAGTAGAATTGTTGACTATCATATTTTCCTTTTATTGCTCCAAAGGTTCAGAACGGTTTGATTATGTAATGATCTGCGAGCATTAATAATCTACCTAGGATAACCGAGACATCTTAATTCCTTCGAGAAAAAAGAATCAAGAGATGAGTTATAGTCAGCTGACGACTCCAAGTTTGTTTCATCGCTTGTGTTAGTTCTTCAGATTTTGAGATTAGGACCTTTTGCTTCTTCAGAATCTCATAGAAATGGAGAACTAATTCTGCACTCTACTCTATCTCGCTCTATGGTTTTCATGAAAAATTTGTACTTTATTAGTCCAACGATTTTGTACTCAAATGAGATTGTTGGAGTCGGAAATGTCACTCTGCCGTCGAGGTTTCACCGTCGGCTCGATAATCTACTTCAATTTGAACCGGGCGAGGCGTAGATCTGTGGATCGGAGATTTTCGATTTGATTAAAGTTCAGATAGCTAATCATCCTCGTTATCCTAACTTAGTGTCTGCTTACATAGAATGTCGAAAAGTAATCAGTCCTCTCATGAACTTGTTTGATCTCCATTTGAATTTCCCGACGAGATTTTAAGTACTTGTCCTATTTTGACAGGTCAGAGTGCCACCAAAATTGGCTTTGCTTCTTGAAGAAATCGGTCGCGAAAGTTATCCGAGTGGTGGCTGTAGTATTGAGATCAGAATAGATCCCAAACTCGACGAGTTCATGGTAACCGTGGCGGAAGAAAAACTCGCGTTTGAGTTTCGGTCGCCACCAAAATTGGCTTCACTTTTTGTGCAGTCGTCATCGGGTGGATGGGGAGAGAGAGAGTGAGGTTCGTATAAGATAGGAGAGGAGAGGAAAGGAGAAAAACTCGCATTTGAGTTTGGCTTCAATCCAGGTGGTGATGGTTGTGCAGTCGCCATCGAGCAGATGGGGAGAAAGAGCGTGAGGTTTATCACAGGAGAGGAGAGGAGAGGAGAAAAACTCACACTTGAGTTCGACTCCAGTCCAAGCAGTGATGGTTGTGCAGTTGCCGCCGGGCGGATGGGGAGAGAGAGCGTGAGGTTCGTCACAGGAGAGAAGAGGAGAGGAGCAAAACTCGCATTTTGCTTAACCTAGGCTAACGATAGTGGTAACTAACGGAGCTGAAGGCTTTTCGCACGCTTCAGCCCCTCACACGATTTGGAGGACACGTGGCGCATCCTCCGAATGCGCGAACATTGCCTGGACGCAACATGCCTGGACTAAAGTCGAACTCTCTAATGGAGAGTTTGCATCTTCGCCCCATACAACGTGCGATTGCCACATGTCCAGTCGCGCACGGTGGGGCTAATGGGATGAGCCCACGGCCATCTTGTTAGCCCCAAAACAAGCCCAAACTTCCTTTCTCCCATAAAATGTTTTAAAAAATGACCTAGAAACATAACCATTTTGGCCACCAGTTTCCGGGTTGACGGTCTGACCATCCGATTTGAACGGATGGCCCATTCTAGAAAATAAATTAAAAATAAAAAATGATAAAAAATCGTTGAACGGGCCGACAATTCGATTGCCTAGGTCAGCGGGTTGTTGACTTTTTCAACGGTTTTTTGGCCAAATATCGGGTTTGGGGTAGAACGGAACCCATTGCCTGTATGGTTCCTGGGCCAAACGGTCCGACCATCCGGGTCAACGACTGTTCAAAAACCTTGCTCCCATATTCCCGCCCCTCAACCTCCAATCGTGCCTAACCCCCGTTCTACTCTCCTCTACTCGGACAGTCGGATCATTTGGCCCGAGAATCGTCTAGGCAATCAGTTCCGTTGACCCGGGCGATCGAACCATTGACTCGTTCAACGTTTTTGACCATTTTTTATTTTTTAATTTATTTGTTAGAACGGCCCATCCGTTCGAACCGGATGATCGGACCATCAATCCGAAAAATGGTGGCCAAAATGATTTCGTTTCCGAGTCATTTTTTAAAACGTTGATTTGAGGTTGAGGGGGCGGGAATATGGGAGAAAAGAGGTTTGCGCTCATTTTGGGGCTAACAGCTCGTTCGTCCCATTAGCCCCGCACACAGGAACGTCCGTCCCATAATAGTTCTTCAAAATTTTTCATAAATTGAGTTTTATTTTGAAAATTTGAGGAATAGTGGATGGTAAATTCAATATCTCGCTTTTTTTTTATTAGCGCATAACGATGATGTTAATTATCAAAAAAATTGGGGTTACTGTAAAGTTAGTCAAATTCCTAGACTTTAAGGGTATTTTAAGAAAATTACCCTTTAGAAAATTGTTGAAAAAAGAACAGTTTGAGAATTTAAAAATGTTTAAATAATTAAATGAAAACCCTTGTCAAATTTAACTGAACGGAATGCTAATAAAAGAGAGTCTTTATCGAGATATAAAAGTTCAAAATCTTTGTGGTGTCTTAGATGAAGGTTCAGGGTTGTAATTGATAGTATCCCCAAAGTATATGATAATAATCTGTAATTTACTCTTTTTATGGTCATCATATTAAGAAATGTATTATCACCCTTTTACTTTTAGAATTGATTCCTCCACCCATAATATAAAACCTTGATTTCAAATAATACCCTGAAGGCCTCAATCGTCCATAGGATACACAAGACGAATATGGATGAAAATGGGATCAATTTGTACAGTGTCAAATCAGTTTTAGTTCATTTTGTTAATAAAATATGATATTTTAATAATTCTTCTGTTAAATTTATAATTTATTAATACCGTTCAGTACTTAAATTTGACCCAATTTCAATATAAACCTCACCAATAATGTTTGGTTTTAATCTTCTGAATGATGAATCAATTTTGGATCAAAGAATGTTGAATTCAATTCAATCGATTTGCAGCCCAACAATGTGACGAGAGCATAATACCTCAGCATCGATATTGCATTATCTATCAAAAATGTGATTGCTAGACAATTATTGGGATACAGTGGAATGATTTTAATGAACAAATAAGGGAGTTCACGAATTTTATGAAGTCGTCTACATTAATCCTATTTCGTCAATTGGTTTTGCTTAATGATAAGGTTCTAAGTAAGTAATAAAATATTAAAATACATAAGACATGCATTTTTTATAGTGGGCCCATGAATTTATTATTAACGTAAAATTTTATTATTGGTTTAACAGCCCGTTGAACGGCTATCGTGTTCAGTTAATCCAAATTCTCACTCGCCCTTCTAGTCCATCGAACTTGTAATAAATCAATTTTTTTTATAAGTTTTGTTGATGGTCTTCTATGCATATGATCAAATCATCTTAGTCAAATTTTTCTCATTTTGAGTGTGTTTGGTTCCATTTATTGAATAAATGTTTTGTATTTGTGTGACTGTAAAACCGGGAAAAGCAATTAATGAGGGCATTTATGACATATAGGTGTCATTAGGCACCACATCAGCAAAATGCCAATAAACGCCTACCAATTTCAAGAAGCTCCAAAATGAAGCTTTCTGAAACGGGAGAGGCGCACAAAAACTAATGTTTGCTTTTGCAAACTTAGATACACACAAATGCAATTAATGAGGAATTTGCTGATGGAGCGCTTATGTGGCACCATCAATAAATATTTTCTTAATAAACGTAAATGGAACCAAGCATATACTTTATTAGAGTTGCTCCTAAAGTTTCCACGAATGACTTCATTTCTGATTCTATATATCCTTTCCTTCACTTGTTCATCTCAGAATATGTATTTTTGTCAAATTCATTTTATTGGTTATGTTTTTTAAGCGGTTGTTTGACATCGTTGTCGTTTCCTAGAGCAACGGCACCACATCGAAAAAAATGGTGCTCCAAGAAACGGTCATTTGTTTGGAACCGTTTTTCCATAAAAAAACGGTGCTCCAAGCCATGGCTTGGGAATCAGGAACCATGGCTTGGAGCAACATCAAATTTGGGGTTTCCTGGAGTTGTAGCTCGTTGTTGCCAACAGGGCAATGATGTAGCACTAGATAATAGGTACCTGTGCTGAAAACATTTCTTTGAGCAATGGTACCAAACAGAAAAAGTTGTTGCTCTAGAAAATGTCCTACCTAGCAGCAACAATTCCAAACAAAAATAAACGCACCATTTTCTCAGAAAAACGGTGCTTCCAACCACACATCAGCAACATCGATGCCAAACATATACTAAATGTCCAACACTTCATTGCCAACTAAGAGGTGGTTCAGTTGGTATTTAGTTGATTCATTCCAATTGAGACAAAGATTCAAATCCCACTACTACTAACTTTGGGGAGGGGTTGTAAGTGTGGTGAATGTCTCACCACATACCAAAAAAAAAAAAACTCTTCTATTTTTCATAAAACATAACTGGCTTTACAACCAAATCATAAAATTTTACGAAGAAGTACGGATAGACTCAATGCAGATTTTTGATTCCCACTGCACTGTTATAAACATTCAAAACATAAAAAAAAACACACCCTATACACCCATACCCACCCATGAATTGGCATCAATTCCGAACTGACACCTACCCCAAATGTACTTTAAACCTAAAAATTATGACATTGGGGTTATTGGTCATTCTCCCAAAATTTTATTTCTAATACAAGTGGTATTTGCCTATGACATAAAAATCAATATGCAACATTCCATTTTACTCATCCTACTCTAATTCTATGGATGAACATCTACCTCAATATTCCTATTATTATGAATTATTGGACCAGGGTACTAAAAAAATGTCACATAATTGGCCTTACAACTAGGGCACCCCTAATAGGAGTGGGAATTGGGCGGGTTTGGGAGCTCAACCCAACCCCTCTAACCCGCTAATTCATTAATGACCAATTTAGAAAAGATTAAATGGTTGTATTCAACTTAGACCCGCCTTAACCCAACCCATTAATTTTTTATTTCATTAAAAATGAGACATACACAAAATATAGAAAAATATAACACAAATTGTAGAAAATACAGAAAGTGTAAAAAACATAAAAGAAATGTGGAAAATAACATAGATTATAACAAATAATAATAGTTGAAAATATTGTAGAAAAATAACAAGAAAATTATATAAAACCAAAATTACAAAATAATACAATTAAAAAAATTATAGAAGATTGGACAATCTAGACCACAGAAATAATAAAAAAAGGTGTGGGACATTGGTGTGGCATATCTACTTTTATTAAAAAAAGAAAAGAAGCATAATGCATATAAGAACTACCAAATCACACCTCTACCAACTTAGCATCATTTTTCTTTTTTTTTTCTCTACTCATATATCATATATTTTATTGAGAAAAAAAAAAGAAAAACTTAAAAGATTTTTCCGAAAATCACACTAACTGAATGAAGCAAGGAAGCACGACCATCCGATTAAAGACAAAGAGCTCATCTTGATCCAACTGGAGTTTCCTTGCTACCTTTGCCGACGATCGAGTCAAACATAGAATCATCTCTATGTACCACACCTTCATCACATCAGATGGTTCAAATACGACCCACCACAACTCGGTACACCAGTACGACATGCTTCACATTCATGAAGCCGAACTCCTCTTTGATCTCACTAGGCAATGCCACGTGTGCGCTCAAGCTGCTTATTAGCCGAGAACCCCAACCTTGTGATCTCACATATGATGCAATTAGTAAAGGTATACGTGCATTTGCACGTGGTTCATACTTTCACGCATATACTGCGTTTATTTAAGTCTTATTTATCTGTTGATAATAAAGTGTGGGGGTCAGTTCTGCTCGACTATCTGAACTGAACCAAACCGATCATGTCAGTTCTAGTCTGATGATTTTATTTGGATTAATAATTGGGTCGGTTCTGGTTCTTGTTATCCCAAATCGATTATTTTATTAACTCCTATTTTTTATCATACCTCATATTTAAAATGATAAACTTGATAGATAATATTAGTTAAAAATATTTAATTTATTAACATATAAATGTTTTGTTTTAGTATTTTTTATTAAGTTTATATTATCAATTTTAAATTTTATTGTATTATTTAAATAAATACATTATAATTGGGTCTGGACCCAATGGGTAATATTTTAAAAAATGACCTGGATCCAGAACCATTATGGCCACCGGTTTTCGGGTCAACAGTTCAACCATGCAATCCGAACGGATGGTCCATTCTGACAAAATAAATTAAAAATAAAAAATAATTAAATTTTAAAAATAGTCAAAGCCATTGAACGAGTTGAACGAATTGATGATTCGACTGCCTGGATAGGTTTTTGGCCAAAGACCAGATTTAGGGTAAAACGAAACTAGTTGCCTGAACAATTCCCATGAACCGATTTTTTAGTCATTTTTTTTAAAATTTAATATATAACTGATTGATCCAGCATTCAAACCCAAAACTATACCCAAAAACCAGTGATCAAAGGGATTTCATTTGAACCTTAGTTACTATCAAAGCACACACATAATAGAGAGAGAGATTCATTTCTCTTCCTATAACAATAGTTTAATATTCTTATTGCTCAAACATACATCATATTCACATTGAATTAAAAAGCATAGATATGTTATATATAAATATCCTTTTTATAGAAGTCAAATGAAGTAAAATACACATTTCAACCTACATGCGTATACCACAATTATATACAGAAGTAAAATTACATACATACAAATAAATATAGTGCATCAAGTATGCACTAGCCCTGCCTTTGCATGTCTGGGAACGCCCAAGAGGTGCATGAGGGAACTGCATCTGAGATTTGAACGCGTAAAACCTCGTGAATGGCTCCTCGATTAAGCACCCCAAACACTTCTTCCTCTCTGGCCATTGCAAGATCTCTCAACAACACTGTGCGAGAGTGCGACTCATCACGCAACCGAAACCCATAAAACCACCTCCCAAGCTTCCACCATCTCACGCACACTTGCTGTTCTGCTATATCACATCTACAGAGGGCCTCCGTCACAGAGTCAGCCTGCTAGTCAGCATTTCAAAACAAGTAATGGTTATGAACTCCATATGTGTCAAGATCAAGCTGACAGTCATGAATCCCCCCCCCCCCAGTTATAGACAAGAACAGGCAGAAACAACAGAATAAGCTTTAATTTCTCAATCAATACACTCATATAATAAGACGTGTATACACCATGGCTTGTGAGCTGAGTTATCTGAAATTTACTTAGTTCACTTGCATGTGAATTGACCAGTAAAATATCTCAAACAGCTTTCTAGATTGATATCATGATATTGTTAAGTTTGCAGATTCCTGTGAAACACATCTTTCATCCAACATCTTGAAAGAGATGAAGGGACTGAGCTGAGTGGCCAAGGCAGGCAAAATATGGTGGCAATAAACTACACCAACCGGATAACTTTCTTGTTTTGGGCATGCTTTTTTCTTTTAATACATGGTGTCTATTCTGAAAGAAACTATCAGAACCAGGGATATTACATGTAATTACAATTAAAATTCACTGTATTTATTTATAGTGTTTAATATTGAAAGCTAATCATCAAACACCATCTTACTTTTTTTATGATAGATAACGAAAGAAACCATTAAGAAAGAAAGATATTGAATGCCACAAATAGATATCCCTCAGAAAGAACACATCATTCTCTCTCTATAACATCTGCATGCTTATTCAATGTTAGGTCACTCCCTAGTCAAATTCATCTTGTGTTTATCACCAACCCCTCCAAATGTGGCTGCAGCCTGCAACTCTTTGAAAGAAATGCCAGAGTTAAAGGGTTTTATATTGGATGAAAGAGCCAAGAGATGTTTTCATAAGGTTGAAAAATGGAGAATAGGCCCAAGGGATGACTTCATAAGGTGGAATGCATGTTCCCTATTGTCTGTCCAACCTAAAAGCCCCAAGGTCCACACCACTGACACACTGATAAGAAAAATCAAGTTCTAAAGTCTATCCAGTGCACTACTTAGGGTACTGATCCCAGATTCTAATATCTAAAATTGCACCCAGAAGATGTATCAGAGAACAATGATGATGCTGAAATGCCAGTTAAGAGAAATTAACAATTTAACAAGTTTCCATTGTAGTCATTCATTTCTATGATCAGCTTCCCCTTCATCACACACACAGGTCACAGGTCCAAAGCTCTTACACATACTGATACATTCCCAAAATGAAGCTATCATCAGTGTCAAATGGTAAACGATAGCTGGGGTTATGCCCATTAACATTACCTCAATTTGGAGCCAAAATATGGAATAGTGCAAACCAATCAGGTTAAGAAGCACGTTCTGCTTTGTGAACAAGAACATTTGAACATCCTCAAACTCCATCTTCATCAAACAAAGGTTTGCAATGGCTTTTAGATAGTCTGCAACCTCGATTGATTTAGATGGGGAGCATAGCTCGACAAAGTTAACAATGGCAGTAGCTTTACCAGTCATCTCATTATGCCGCTTTATATAGAAGTCCCTCCATCCCTACAACAGTAAAACCCAATTTACAAATTACAATTGGCATCTATCTGCAGTCTGCAAACAGAGTTTATCTGATCAAGATAAGATAAATTAGAAGCCTAATATAACATACATCCAAAGAGCAACAAATTTAACCACAGGTTAGCAACAAATTTCATCCATTAACTTTTTTTTCCTTTTCTTTATCTTCTAATCCGACTCTGTGTCCCTGATTTGAGCTCATATGTGTGCAAATTTTGCGATCGCCCAATAAAACACTGGCATGATACCATTTGTTTTAAATTCAAAACACCAGGTAATATATTGTTTCATTCGTTGGATTGCTAACGTGCTTATGTTTTATTGAAAGGTAACAAGAAATTGGTTGTAGCACATGTGATCCGCCTTGATTCTAGCTGATTTTGGTAACATGGGCCTCGAAGGAGAAATAAGAAGCATTTCAGGAGATCGGTATGTTGTTTTCTTAACGTTTAAAGCTCGACGCCTAAATCACCTTAAAGAACTCATTTTCAAAATTTCAAGGTGTTGGGTTTTACCAATATTTATAAATGAATAAAATCTTGCCCCGTTCAAAGTGTCTAGGAGGATTCTGTCTATCTTTATGAATGAAGAAATGAAACTATGAAAATATTTCTTTTTTTATTACGTCCTCAATTCAAAATCTGTCAACTTTCAGGCATACTTCAACGGATTCTCCCCTTTCCCCTCACCCACCCATTCATTACCTAGAAATTAAAGCTCCAAAGTGCTTATGCAAATTGTTGTCGGATATCGCCAGAAAACAGACCAATAACTCAAGAAGAAAAGAGCAAAACTATGGAGAAATCAGGTATGAACTCTATTATAAGTCTTCATATAATAGAAGGGAAAAAAACAATTGTAAAGAATGCGATAAGAACAGCAATAACAATTTCAGTAACGACCTTGGTAGAAGAGGACTGATCCACCAAAACCTTTTCAGGCTGCCCGTCGGCGACTTCCAAAACAGGGGGTTGGGATGAGAAATCCAAAGAAGGCCATCTCTGTCTGGACAAAGAAAGCCATAGGCAATCCGACGCACACAATTCCCTCCAAAACCGGGAACAACTACCCAGGGCGCAGACATCAGTGACCTTCTCTTCCCACATATCACAAGAAAAGAATAAATACGAATAATAAGCGAACATGAAAACCCTGCAAATTCGCAGTATTCGAAAGAGAGAGAGAGAGAGAGAGAGAGTACTTGGAGGAATGATACGATCTCCAGGGCAATATCATCAGGGACCGAGCTCCGTGTCCACTTCCACTGCTCCAACTCCATGTTCAGATGTTCCAAGAGAATCTCTCTCTCTCTCTCCTCTGAATAACAAAAAGCGGGTCAAGTGCGGAATGGCAATCTTAAGCGAGTGCGAGTTTGAGGCCGCGTTCGCTTGAGCAATGACAAGTCATCGTGGGTGTGGGGTATAAGAGTAATTCACCTCAATATTCTTTTCACGAGAATAGACGAACAAGGATTTTGAAATTGAATGAGTTTACCTGTTGACTTCATTTGGGGGTGGTTAGTTATAGGACAGATTCCCACGCCAACTAAGCATCATGCTTTTTCCTGTGCTTTTCATCTGAGGTGGCAATCCAGCTTCGACTCCACGCCATAATAACACTTATTTAAATTTTTATTTTGAAATTTAATCTTAAGTTGCAAAGACTAAAATGACCCTACTAAGGCCCACGGTCATTGCTCTCTTCCACCCTCCCTCTTCTTTCTTTTTCATTGTCTCTCGCACTCTAAACTCTCTTCTCTTCGACTGTTTCTTCCTCAACCGCAAGTTCTCCTCCCCAGCGGCGCTCCTCTTTCTCATTCTCATTTTCTCCTCCCTCGCTCTCCCTTTATCGCTCCTCACTCTCTCCCGCTCTCCCTCTCTCAGTTTCTCGCTCTCACTTTCTCCCGTTCTCGCTCTCCCTCTTCCTTACTCTCATTTTCTCCTCCCTCGCTCCCCCCCCCAGTCTTGCTTTCCCTCTGTCACACCCTCACCCTCACCCTCTCCCGCTCTCCCTCTCTGTCTCTCTCGCTCTCACTTTCTAGGACCCATGGTCATTACTCTCTCCCGCCCTCCCTCTTCTCTCTTTCGTTGTCTCTTACACTCTCAACTCTCTTCTCTTTGACTGTTTTTTCCTAGGGTTAAGGTTTATGCAATGGGTCTGTCCGTACTTTTCCTTTTTTTATATGGGAAGGGAAATTATTTGTGATGTTWTCYGTCAACTTTGAAGATAAGAATATTTGGAAATTTTTAATCTTTTACAAAATAAAAATAAATAGTTGGTTTCAACTGATCAACTGAACGAAATAGAACTAGTAATTCAACGATTTCTTCGTCCAAAGAATTCAACTAAAGAAAGAAACTGAATTTGATGAAGAATAAGAAGCCAACCTAAAAAAAAACTTCAGTTTGAGGTTTTTTCAACAAAACGAAAGCGATTAAACGAAGCGACACTGAATTCGATCTCTGCAGCAAAACTTCAGTTCGAAGCAAAAAATATGTTGGAAGCTCTTCGCCTTTTCATGCAGAATTGCAGGTTTCCAATAACGAAAGACCTTAAAACGAGAATGCATCAAAGACAAAAAAAAAAAAAATGGAGGAAACGGAGACTTTAGCTTGACAGAACGATGAATGACTTTTGAGGATGAATAAAGTTGCTGCTACGATGCTGCCCTCCTTCCGAATTCGTGTTCCATAGCCTCCTCTACTCACTTTTCATTTTCATTTGCTTTGTTCGTTCTATTTTGATTCTTGAACAGTGATTTCTCTTACTAAAAGTACAATCCAGTGATTTAAGAATCAAAATAGAACGAACAAAGCAAATGAAAATGAAAAGTGAGCAGAGGAGGCTGTGGAACATGAATTCGGGAGGAAGTGAGAGCGAACGGGAGAAAGTGAGAGCGAGAGAGACTGAGAGAGGGAGAGCGGGAAAGGGTGAGGAGCACCGCTGGGGAGGAAAACTAGCAGTTGCAGGAAGAACAGTCGAAGAGAGAGTTGAAAGTGCGAGAGACAACGAAAGAGAAATAAGAGGGAGGGCGGGAGAGAGCAATGACCGTGGGCCCTAGCAGGGTCATTTTAGTCTTTGCAACCTAAGGTTAAATTTCACAATAGAAATTTAAATAAGTGTTATGATGACATGGAATACAAGTTGGATTGTCGCCTCACATGAGAAGCATAGGGAAAAGCATGATGCTTTTAATTGGCGTGGGAATCTGTCCTATAATTCAAAAGTTGAATTTAACTTCTGTATGGGCTGGCCTACGATTCAGGTTTCTGCAATGGGCCTGTCCGTACTTCTCCCTAATTAAAATGGTGCTCGGTATCAATGGAATTTACATCTGCGCCCCACAGCATATCAATGGAATTTTTAAGCTCCCCTTGATTTGTAAGACAATTTTGGTGGGATGTGAAAATATGAGACGGAATGGGATGGGAAAGGTCCAAAAGGAAAATTTTCATGTTTCATTGAATCATTGTTTGGTTGCAAAAGGCAAATTTTTCATGGGTGGAAAATTTTCATGTTTCATTAAATCATTGTTTGGTTGCAAAAGGGAAAATAGTGGAAAAATCAACCCTAGTAATAATTATTTAGTAAACTTTTTATTATTTTATATTATATTATTCTTAATTATTCATTATTTATATTTTAATGAAATAATTTTTAATTAATTAGTATTGATAATTATTAATTAAGAATTAATATTTTAAAATTTTATTTTTGCTAATATTTACTATGAATTGATTAATAATTTTATTTTATTATTAATTATTTAATTTTTTTAATAAATTATTAATTAGATTAATAATAAAATCCTTATTTGTTTATTCATTAATTACTTAGTTAATTAAGTATTAACTATTTTTCTTAATTCTTAATTAGTTAATAATACTTTTTATTATTTAGTATTTTATTATTAATATTATATTTTATTAATACCAATGACTTAATTAATAATTTTAATATTCTGATATTAATTAATCATAAATTATTAAAATATTTTTATTTTAATTATATTATTGAATATAAAATAAATAATTAATTATTAAATATTTTGTTGTTAATTATTAATTATTTAATAATATTTTTATGATTTAGTATTTTATTGCTAATTATTAATTTTTTAGTAATTTGTTAATTAATTATTAACATCAATTAATATTTTAATTTTTATTAGTTTATATTTTATTTTATTAATACTTATGACTTAATTAAAATTTTTAATATTTTATCCTGAAAATAATTAAGTATTTATTAATAATATTATTATTTATTTATTTGAAGTTATTTATTATTTGTTTTAACTAAATTAGTTTATTAATTTGTTATAAAATAATTAATAATTAATTTATGGGTCATGGATCTAGTATTAACTCTTAAAAATACTATAAGGTTTTTTTCGTTAAGTAAGTTTCCCCCTACATTCCCACTTATTTCCCACCAAAATGGTGGGACTCCACATCCCAAGAATTGGGATCTATAATTCCACCTTTTTCCCATCCCATCTCATGTCATCCCACAAACCAAACATGGAAAGAGAGGAATATATATTCCAGAATATTCTATATTTTCCCTTCCCATCCTACAAACCAAACGGAGGCTTAGATTTTATGGGTGATTTCTTTATTCTTTACTGCCTAATGGCATTGATTTGTAACAAAAATATTTAGGTTGTGTTTTCTTTGCAAGAAATGGATACTTAACCTGTATCTACTTCATTCCATCCAAAAAATTCTTCAGTAGGTTGGCGGGCCGGGCCTGTATTGCACAAGATTCCTCCACACTTGGTTTTGCCTTGTTTCATATTTGGTTTTTTGCCTTGTTTCAATTTAATTAGTCAAGATTATCAAGTTCCACCAAACCTCCATTCCAAGTTCCATTAGCACTCTTCTTTATTCATTCATTCGTAACTCACTATATACACCATGGTTTTTAAAAACGAACCGGTTGGGGGTTCGATTATCAGTTTGAATGGTTTGACCGTTTGATCCAAATGGCTAGTTTATTCTGACAAAAAAATAAAAAATTAAATAATTGGAAAACAGTCAAAACGGTTCGAAAGGTTTGAACAGTTAATCGGCCGGTTCAGCGATTTGCTGACCAAAATCAATGGTTTTGGGGGAAAAAGCGGTTTTAGAGGAAAACGGAACCGGTCAGGTGATCGGTTCCCAGTTTTTCCGGTCTGACCGTCCAATCTGGTCCGGTCTGGTTTTGAAAACCATGATACACACATTAAAAATCTAACTAATGTGGTTTTTGTTTGTTTTTCTTTACATTTGTAGTTTATTTTGGGTATTAAACAATAATTTTTTTTTTTAATTTTCTTTTAAGTCAAGAAGATGTATTGAACTTTCATCCCCACCAAAAGGTCAATGGGATTTACAAACTCTTGTTTAAATTTTCCCTTAAGGCGATATGGAGGAAATAATGAAAATCATTTCTTTTAGTCACTTGCACCATTGCTATGGAAGCATTCAAACTCTTACATAGGAGTGTTCATTATATAGTTTAAATCGTAAAACCAAACCGAATTTGCGGTTTGGTTTGGTTTGGTTTACCCTAAAAAACATTTTGGTTCAGTTTGGTGATTTTCTAAATTACAGTTGATGGTATAAACTCTTTATTTTATAATAAAATAACAGTTTTAAGTTTTAATTTTTAGGAAAGCTATTTGGGCTTTCTAATTGGATCAAGCCCAATAGAATCATATAATGGTTCAAGTCTCCAAACCATATTAGAAACCACACCAAACCATAATAAAATGGTTCGATTTGGAAATTTCTCACCATAATTTACCGATTTGCTCAGAGATCTTCTCCAAACCACACCAAACTGGACCGTGAACACCCCTACTCTTACATTTACATAGTAAAATCTGCATACATTTTTTTTTTCTGATTAAAAGTCCGCAGGCATTCATTAGAAAAGTTCAAAACAGTTGAAATTACAAAACTATGTTGGCCACGGAGCGAAATGATACATGATCTCTACGGGTCTCTAGCACAACGAGCTAAGCAGTGGGCCACTTAATTTACAAAACGATTTACATACTTAAATTGGACATCTTCCAATTGGCCCTGAATTTGGAAGATATCTGAGAGGATATGGAAATTGGGGTCCAAGGGGTTGTGAACCACTATGCTTCTAGATGGGAAACTCTTGTAAGGTCCAATGGAATCTCTATTAGGAAAGCCCTTACCCACATGGTCCAGACCACCCTTACCCACCACGAAGAGGATAAAGCATGCCTTCTTTGTGGTGTACAAAAAAAAAAAAAAAAAAATTAAGGTGTTCCATGAAATCATCATAGACCTAAAACAAATTAAAACTCGTTAAAAAACACTTCCCAGATATGAACAGATACAAACATTGGAGAAGGTTGCTATTGTATTCTGGTTCATATGGGATGCTATAAACATAAGATTGTATGAAAACATAAATCTTGATCCCATGGCTGTAACATATTTCACTGTTTTGCGGTTATGGAGAATATACATATGGTTCTTGTGTACCAGTAGTATACCTTAT